CCCCCCCCCCCCCCCCCCGCCTCCCTCGTGGGCACGACAGCGCAAGTGCTGGGTTGTTGGTGTTGTTTGTGTGTGCAACAACGCCCACCTCCCTCCTCCTCGTTGCCCCTCGTGGCGGAGAAAGACCCCGCCCGGGACGCAACAGCGTGCTGGTTGTTACTGTTTGTGTATGTAAGGAAACGCGTACCCCCCCCCTCCCCCGGCCCCCCCCTCACCTTGTGTGCCCCTCGCCGCAAGAAAGCCACCCACGAGCACACGTCCACAGCTCCTCCCCGCCTCAGAGTACAAAATCAGCAGTGAGGAGATGGATGTTTACGTTATGAGCACGTTGTGTTTGTACATACACGCGGCGGACGAACCAACGTCCGGCGAATGGGTTCGCGTAATCTGTTCCCCACGGGGTGCGAAGAAACATCAACGGGGTGAAAACTAAGAAAAGGGGGGAGGGACAGGGGGGCACGGAGAACAACAACAGTGCCTGCGAGCCAACTGGCTCTTGGAACACTACCGGAGTAGATGTTCCCTCGGTATCACAGACGTGTCCGCGGGCAAAGTCGAGGGACGAAGACCCATTTGCCGACCGCTTGTGTTTGTGGCGAGCTTACACTCGTGAGGCCCCAGGGATCACTTCCTCCGTGTGTTGAATACGGCTTGCACCATGAGTGTTGCAACTTGGTCTTGAGTTGAGTGTAGATTTCAAAGTTGAGCACCATTTCGTGCTACAGATATCGTCGTAACATGACACTAGACGTTCGTGATGCGGTGTTGACTTTTTTTTTGTGTCTAGTACGTTTAATTGTTTTTCCGAGGACAATGTTTAGTTGACTAGAGAAACGTGTCTATCCTCGCTAGAGCAAAATTGGATGCCCCCTTTTATTGACGATAGTTCATAGCTAGCCCCCCCCCCCCGCCGGTGTTTGCCATCGGGGTTGGGTTTTCGTCGCTTGTGAACGACGTTGTAACACAAGCCGCCCCACCCGGTGTTTGCCATCGGGATTGGGTTTTCGTCGCTTGGCAAAGACGTTGTAAAACAAGCCAATTCACTTCGTGAACTCGGCAACCAGGCTGCCGTTTTTTTTTTTACCTCCGTTTTTTTTTTTGGCGGTAACCATAATGGTGGTCGAGTAGATCATGTTGTGCGGGGTGGAGAACCCTCACTCCGCGCAAGGGGGATGATCGCACCACGTTGTGTTAAAATGGTCAAGCACCCTCGAGGCAGTTACACAGTGCTTACAACTGTCTCTGGAAGTGAAAGCACCAGAAAATAAATTAAGTCATACGCAGCTGTCATCCGTACGCAAGGAAGTAAGCACAAGATGCCGAACACCCTTAGCAGGATGCAGCGCACCCTTCATGCGACTCGCCGAATATCTCACGGCGCTTCGCGCTTGGTGATGTGAGAGCCTGGTCCGGTGAGAACCCGGCGTGCTCCGTCCCGGCTTTGTAGGGATGCGAGGTCAATGGTCTAACGACTACGGCATGCACGACTATGAGTACCCCCCCCCACCACACCACGCGTCAAACGTCTGTGTCGGTTGTTCGCTGACCGTGTGCTATCCATTATTTTTCTCCTTGTCCATATTTGTCCTTATCTGTTTTTTTTTTTTTGTGTCTTCTCAGGAGTGTCAAGTCGTTCTTCGCCCCTAACGAGAACGTCCGGCTGGGATCCAGCCGCGACCAGGACGGCAAGTCCAACGTGTGGGCTGTCGAGCCCAAGATGAGGGTGGAGGTGAGCGTGAGGATGAGAGCGACAGACAAGCTCGATGAGTATATGCTGGAACATCACGGCCTATCAAGCATCGGGGCGTGTTAGCAAGAGGTTTTTGCCTGTGGGTACGAACAGTGAAGACCTATCAAACATGGGACCTATCAAACATGGGTCCGTGTCAACAAAAGATTATTACGCTGTCAGCTTCTCCGCGGTTGTTCCTGCACGATTCGAAGAGTAGACTTATCCCTGGCCCATCACAACACCAGACGTTTCAAATATTTGTTCTTTCTTGTCTCAATCCACGATGCTGCGAATGTACCGTGCACATACAAAAATTCGGTCGAGTTACTCTTCCTCTTGCTCTGAACCGCTCGACACCAAGGTCGCTATTGTTGCCAACTTCCCCCCGTCGTCCCCTTTCTCCGCTTTCTCGTTGTTTGCAGGGGACGGACGTGGAAACTCCCGAGAATAACTCGCTGCTTATCGTGGGGGGGATCGTCGGGGCGCTGGTGGTGGCAATGTCGGCAACGATCGCCTTCCTGCCACCTCCGGACTCCATGTAATACACTAAGGTTTCTTTTCAGCACAGTGGGGGGGGGGGGGGGGT